TTGGCCTCTGGCACCGTGGCCTGCACTGCTGAAGGAAGCTGGTACCCAGACAGAACAAGGACCAGACTAGCAGCACTTCTGCACACCTTGACTCCTAAATTTCTGTAGTTTTATGCCACCAAGTTTGTGGTAATTTGTTATGGCAGTCACAGGAAACTAATATAAATTATCTATAATTAGCAGAAATTCTAGGGAGCTTTTATCCAAAAGGATGGCTTCAGTTTGGGAACTTCTAATTTGAAGTCCCTCTTCATGGTCATATTTAGCAAGGCCATTTGTCTTTTAACAATATTACTGTTTTCATTATATCTCATCTAGGTACAGGAGAAAATTTATTGTAGAAATTTGGGAGAGAAGGCACAAGTCTAGCTCATCCAATGGAAGTTTTAAGTCCCCTGCCTTTAAATTGATGACCTCTTCCAAATGCTGGGTCTTGTCCCTTAAGCTGACATAAAGGTCACTCCCTGTACTTGTGGGGCTTGTCTGTGGAGGCCACCAGGAGCTCTGCCAACAGTTCAGGGGATAACCCTATGCTCCCAGGTCAAGGACTCCTAAACACTTCCCCTAGAGCCTGCCAAGGATTATTGTGATCTTGGGCTTGTAAACGGACCTATCCTTCACGTGGGCTACCCAATGCAGCTGCCAACGGAGTTTCTTTCCTATCTAGAAAACTCCTAGTTGTATTGGTCCAAACTTTCAGCAACAACCTCAACATCAACATCAACCAGAGGCAACACAGTACTTTACCTGTTAGCTGAGATTCTGATATCTATAATCAGAGAATTACTTGGTCCCACATAGACTAAAAGTATAAGAAGACCTTCAGCATACTAAAATATGTTGATGTTTCACATAATGCAGAATGGGGTCTGGTGATGCTTGGGGAAGGTCAGACGGCCAATCAGATAGATCTTACCAGGGCAGCATCTGATCTTTGCTGTATATGTTCAATAAATATCTGTTGTATGTATTAGACATACTAATCTAATTAATTTACATCTCTTACATACAACAGGCATGCTGTTTGTACCCCTCTGAAATTTCCTTTACTGGATCCTTCATACTGCTGTGAGTGTTAGCTGCTAACTGAGATATGTGTACAAAATGCTGCTCCCTTACCTCAAAGTGGGGTCAACTCTGTGGTATAATTCATGCTCCAGGGCTCTCCACGAGATCAGGCTGAAGCTCCATTCTAGAGAAGACCGCGTCCTTGCTCAGCTCCCTTCTGGGCTCTATCCAGCTTCCTTTACTGTGTTTCTTTTGAGAGCACTCTCCCAATAAATTATGCACTCAAACCCCGTTTCAGGGCTTTGCTTCCAGGGAAACTGACCTAAGACACTGCATGAGTTAAAGCCCAAAATTGTAAAATCCATCCATGTCCATGACTGAAGATAATACATGCAAAGATATAGGAAGTGATGACATGAAATCAGAGAGAGAAAAAGGGCCACACAGAGACATGCCTTTCTTGAGTGTAAAAACAAAAACAAAAAACAACAGGCAGAGGCACCTTCAGACCATATAGACCATATAGGTGAATACAAACCCCTTTGGTCACGCAGTTGGTGAGAACTCTGTTATTTAGAATCTGGACTTAGAGCAATTTCAGATCAAAAGCCGAGTATTCTTTACCATTGGCATTAAAGTTTCTGGGACTTGGAAATGGCCACCTTGATAAGGACTAGTGAAGAAAAAGGTAAGATGGGATTTCAGGTTGAACAGCCACAGAACCTTGGTGATAAGGTATGTAGAGTCCAACAGAGGTGATTCAGGGGCTAGAGTGACGCCTCCATGCGGAGTTACTGGACAATAATATTAGAACCCACTGCGTGTTATGTATAGATGACGAGATATATATTATGTATTTATATACAATTATGCTGTCATTCTTTATAAATTTTTTTTTTTGAGACAAAGTCTCGCTCTGCTACCCAGGCTAGAGTGCCGTGGTGTTAGCCTAGCTCACAGCAACCTCAAACTTCAGGGCTCAAGTGATCCATCTGTCTCAGTCTCCCAAGTAGCTGGGACAACGGGAGTGCACCACCATGTCCGGCTAATTTTTTGTATTTTTAGTTGCCCAGCTAATTTTTCTATTTTTAGTAGAGACAGGGGTCTTGCTCTTGCTGAGGCTGGTCTCGAACTCTTGACCTTAAGTGACCCTCCTGCCTCAGCTTCCCAGAGTGCTCCTTAATAAATTCTTAATCAAGTCTACCTCAACAGACTTATTCTTGTCCTTGGAGGAAGCAAGTTACAGAATATTCTGGTAATTTGTTGTTATGTAAAAAACCAGCACAAAACTTAGTGGCCTAAACAAGTGCACTCATTTATTTTGCTCATGTATCTGCAATTTGGGGTGGATTCAGCAGGATAACACCCCCATGCTTCACGATTGTCTGGGGCTTCTACTAGGAAGACTTGAATGGCTGGGGAACTGGCTTCCCCAAAGCGAGGCAGTCTCAGAGTAGCTGGACTTATTTTATGGCAGCTGGCTTTTCCAAGAGCAAATGTTTCCAAGACACTCAGGAGGAAGCTGCAAAACTGCTTATGACTTAGCCTTAGAAGTCCCAGCACATGACTTCCACTATAGTCTACTCGTCAAACGAATCACTAAGGCCACCCCAGACTCAAGGAGTAGGGAAATTAGGCCTTGTCTCTCCATGGAAGGAGTTTAAGAGAATTGGCAGCCATCTTTAATCCACCATACAGAGGTAGAAAGCGTAGGGGACTGTTTGATAAAAGCAGTAAAGGAGAAAGAAGATAGCAATGCTACCCTTCACAGGTAAGATTTTGTTTGTTTTTTAAGGACAAGATAATTTGAGTGTGCTTTTTTTTTTTATTTCAGCATATTATGGGGGTACAGATGTTTAGGTTATGTATGTTGCCCTTGCCCCCCTCTCCCCCGCTAAGTCCGAGTTTCAAATATGTCCATTCTTCGGGTGGTGTGCATTGTACTCTTTGTGTATGCATATACCCATCCCCTCCTCCCTCCTCCCCCCTCCTCCCTCCACCCTTCTCCTTGCCCAACATCCAATTTGAGCGTGTTTGAAGACTGAGCAAAAAGAACCACAGAAGAGAGTAGATTAAGGAAGTAAGAAAGACAGTGTTTGCTGCAGCAAGGTTCCAGGACTTCAGGGAGCAGCCATGTCTAGTACAGGGATTGGTGTTTTGTGGATGCAGGCCCTTTGTTATCCCTGAGTGTTGGTAAAATCATATGAAACTTCACAGCCTGGGCTCAGTTTTGCTGTGGGGAGGGAAAGGGAGGGTTGCTTCCACTTTTGGCCTGGAATAATAGGAGGAGCTGTGTCTCTCGCAGCTAGGGCATGGCCCATGTCAGCTTTGCCCATCTGACTAGGGCCTGCCAGAGGGTAGGGCCATGTCTTCAATTTCCCTACCTCCTTTTACACAGCCCCATGTAGGACACTGCAGCAAAAGCATAACCTGCAAACCAGAATGTCAGCGCTAGGGCTTAGGCCAAACAATAGGTTTAAATGAGAAGGATGTGTGGGTGCAGAGCTAGGGGTTAGGCTGTTGTGCAATTCAGCTTAACCAGGCCTGAAAGGGATGCAGAATGAGGAAGTCAGCACCTGGGTATGAGTGGGGTATGAGTGTGGGACCTGGGTACGAGTGTGGGGGTACATCCTAGTATCTTAGAGTTCTGTGATCTGAGATAAAACTGAGAGGCTTCACATGTATATGAGGGGTTTTCTTTGTTTCTCAGACGCCGAGGTAGCACTGTAGGGATTATTCCTCACAGAACACGGGTTATGTCGGACAATACTCTGGTTATCTATTGCTGAGTAACAAACCTCTCTAAAACTTGGAGGCTTGAAACAGCAATGAGTTTATCATTTCTCAGGATTTTGGATAAGGCATAGTCAGGAAAGACCTGTTTCTGTTCTAGGTAATGTGGAACAACAAGGTTGGAACAACCCAGAAAGCATCTTCGCTCAGTGACTGATCTCTTAGCTAGGATGGGCCCACCAGGTTCCCATGTCTGGGGCCTTTCCCACCCCATGTGGTCTCTGCATGTGGTTTCTCTCCAGCAGGTGGATGAAGGGAAACCACTCATGACCACTAAGAGCTCCAAGTCAAGACTGCCAGGTCGTTTTAAAGCTCGGAGCTGGAACTGGCACATTGTCCCTTCCACCACATTCTTCTACTGGTTAAATCGAGTCACAGGCCCAGTCCAGACTCTCAGATTGAGGACCACACAAGGTTACGCTGCTGGGAGGCATATTTCCTTGGGGGCCACCAAAGTAACAAACCACCACACAAAAAGGGTCCTAGAGACAGGCAAGTGCCGGCTGAGGGTGTTTCATTTCCTAATTCTAAGTGGGCCTCTCTTCAGAGAATATGGTTGGTGGGCAAATGTTGGGGAGTAAGGTAACCCCAAACTTCTCCCACAAATTAATGGTGTTAAAGGTGGGGGTTCTGGTCTGCAATGATCAGCCTATTATCAAGGAGGCCTGGCTGTGTGTGTCTTCATTCAGTCTATCAGGCATTTACTGAGCACAGCCTATATGGCAGGTTCTTAACACACACGTTGTTTCGTTATCCCTATTTTACCGAGGCTCGAATGCGGCACTGCTGCTTCCACAGTACCGCACCTTAGCACCACACCCCGGCACGCCTCCCAGCCCTTTCCGCCCGGCAGCTAGAGCTGGGGCAGAGCGCTGAGCGCAGCGGGGTCTTCAGGAGGGCAACACTCGACGCGGCAGGCTTGGTTGGCAGAGCGGCCGACTCCCAAGCAGCCAATGGGTCGGCTATTCGGTAGCCGCCGTCCTCTGCGAAGGGCGACAACTAGAGCGCTGGGGCACCTCCGCATGGAAGCCGGGTCTCAGCTAATCGCGCGCGCCCGCGTCCCGCCCATACATGCACGAGCGCGCGCGCAGGCCCCGCCCACCGCTCAACTCTGGTCCCGCCCTCAGGATTGACCGCCCGAGCCACCGTCCGCACAGCCCCGCCCCGCACGGCCAGGCGAAGCGGAGCCGGCCGTGCGGTGTGCGTGTATGTGTTCGCGGGGCGCCGTCTCAGCCCCGGGAAGATGGTGGCGGCGGCGGCGGCGACTGAGGCGAGGCTGAGGAGGAGGACGGAGGCAACGGCAGCGCCCGCGGGCAGGAACGGCGGGCCGCGCCGAGACTGGGACGTGACCGGGGCTGGGAGGTCGGGACTAGGGGCCGAGCTGCGCCTCCCGCGGCTGCTGTCCCCGCCGCTCCGGCCGAGGTTGCTGCTGCTGCTGCTCCCACCGCTGCTGCTGCTGCTGCTTCCCGGGGAGGCCGAGGCCGCGGCGGCGGCGGCGGCAGTGTCGGGCTCAGCCGTAGCCGAGGCCAAGGAATGTGACCGGCCCTGTGTCAACGGCGGCCGCTGCAACCCTGGTACCGGCCAGTGCGTCTGCCCTGCCGGCTGGGTGGGCGAGCAATGCCAGCACTGCGGGGGCCGCTTCAGGTGAGTGGTGGGTGGTGTTGGAGGGCCGGGCCCAGCGGGAGACTGGGGCTGAGGGGCGCTCGAGACGGCTCCAGGCCAGAGGCGGATGCCGGACAGAAAGTGGAGAGGGTAGGGCTGCCCCACGGTGTTCCAGGACCATTTGCTTCCGCAGAGATGGTCCTCTCTGGTCTGGGGAATTCCTCTGGTGGAAGGTGAAAAGGTGCGAGGCAAGGGTGTGGGCACCCCGAAGGTATTTGGGTGCCGCGGGCTAGATTGAAATAATGCTAGGAGTCCCAAAGAGTATCAAAGACAATCTTTGAAACTGGGCCTATTTCAGATAAAAGAGGTATCAAAGGAAAGATGAGTGAGCCAGTCTTACTTAAACAATTCCTTTTAACATCTATTTGTATCGTAGAGCCTGATGAGTTCCCCGACTGATTGGAGATATGGGGTACTCTGAAGAAACGGGGCCCTGGAAGTGATTTGTTGGCTAGAGATAAAAGGGAAAGGGTAGGATCATGAGATAATAGGAATAGAAGAACCAGTGGTTGTTGGCTAAAGGAAGGTGAGGAAACTAGTCTTTTGAAGCTCACTGGAGGTGGCAGATTGGAACAGAGTCTGTGGTAGAGAGAGGATGGAAGGAGATTCCTGTTTGCCCTGGTTTCTGGACGATATGGAGTTCTGAGTTGGCCTGGTTCAGGGCAGTACCTCTTGGAGAGATCACTCATTAATTAATTAGCAGTTATCTATTATTTGCTTCAGTTGTGCAAGGATTTCCAGATAGCACACACAAAACAAATAGTTTAGCCAGACTTTGGCCTGGTCCACAAGGAGTTTGGAATATGACAAAAAAAGATATGTGCAGACATAAGCCTAGTCACAAGGGCTACAGAGTCATTCATGCCTTTGGCATATATGTACTGAACACCTCCCATGTCTGATGTGGGGGAGTGGGGAAATGTGAACAAGACAGATGTCCCTGCTCTCATGGATCTTACTTTCTAGTGGGGGCAACAGGCACTTAAGTAAATAAGTGAAAGGAATGAACAAGATAATTTCAGATAACAGTAATCAAGAAAATAAAACAGGGTGGTCTAATAGAGAATTATAACCCGTGGTGACTTTAGGAGAAGCCTCTCATTTGAAGTGACATTTCATCTGAGACCTGAATGAGGCAGTGGAGAACCTGGGGGAATTCAGGGGTGGAGAGGTTGTGACTAGCTGGGTGGATGAAAGGAAGACTTTGAGGAGGAGATAACATTGGAGTTGTGAGCATTTGAGGCTAAGTAGGATTTGGAAATGAGGACCTGGCAGAAAAATTCCAGATGGAAGGAAAGATGCAAACAAAGTAAAAGCTGGAATGTAAAGTTTTGCTGGTGCCTATGTAAAAGACAGTTATGAGAGAAGAGCTTAAATTATAAAATTGTAGACTCAGGTAATGTCAGATCTTCTAGGGAACTCAAAGAACATTGAGCAGGTGGGCTATGTAGTTTTATGAATGGAGAAACCAAGTGACTTCAGGACCAGTTTGTAGTGAGGCTGGTCTTGTTACTTGGGGTGTTTTGATTTATGAATTCTGTTAATCTACACATATTTGTTGAGAGCTCCTTTGTTTTAGGTTGTGAGATATAGTGGTAAACTAGACACAGTCCTTTTATGGAGCTTACGTTCTAGCTTGGGAATAAAATATCCAATAATCAATTTATTACAATTTCGTTTAAGGCTGTGGAGGTGAAGAGCAGGGGACAAACAGAAGACTTGGTTTGGAATGAGAGTGAGGTTGGTTACTGAGTAACTGACTTTTGAGTTGAAATCTGAGGATTGAGATGGTACTACCTATGAGAAGGGTGGATTGCTGAGGGGCCAGCATGTACAGAGGCTTGGGACGAGTGGGATCATGGTAGGCTGGATGAAAGGCCAGGTGGCTGGAGCAGAGAGAGCAAAAGGGAGCTTGGCAAGACTTGAGAAATAGGCAGGGGCCAGGCAAGTGGAGTTATGTGGGCCAGATTGAGAGTTTTGAACTTTAGCCCAAGAGCAGTGGAATGGCATAGTTCACTCTTGTTTTCATGACATTAGAGACTTTTAGATTAGAGCCAGAGTAGGAATGTCCTTGAAGGTGAGGCAAGAGTATTTTGAATTTGAGGAGCATCCAAGATCAGGTGAATTGATGGTTGGATCAGATTAAGGTCCTTCAAGTTCTGAAAATCTGGGACACTATGGTAGGCAGTGGGGATCCACAGGAAGGAACATTCATAGCAAGACCAAACTGTCTGTAATATGCAGAGTAGGTAGATTAATTTTGGTGCATGAGAGACGGTGGGCAGCTAGGCAGGATCTGTTGGCATGATTCAGGGCAGTGGTAATGAGCTTGAGACAAGCTGTGGGAACGGAGGCAGGGATAGATGCTGTGTCAGGTTGTAGAGGCAAAGTGAACAGGTCTTTCTTTGAAACTGGTTTGCTCTTGGGAAAAGAAAGGGGGATGGTGAAGCTAAGAAAACTAGATCCTATCTTGGGCGATTGAGAGGGTGGTGATAACATTAACAGACATGGGGACACAGGAGGAGCAGGTCTGAGACACGTTTAATTTTGCATACACTTGAGTTGTGTGTTCTCAGGGTATGCACTGGCAGATGTAAATGTTGGAGTCATCTGTGTGTGAGGGAGATTGCCAGGAAGAGAGACAGGTCTTAGTGTCCATATGAACAGTCCAGAGGATTGGAGAAGAGCCACTTGTTACAGGGAACAGGCAGCCCTGACACTGGTTGTCTCAAATGGTGTCACGTGTGAGTGAAGGGGTTTCCCTGGTTATTGTGGGTGGGCCCTCCCTTTGAGCTGGTTCTAGGTGATGTCAGTGCTCTTTCCTGGGCAAACAGTTATGACTTTGGTCCTGATGATACCATTATATTTTGTGGGCTTCTGGAATTTGCATTTTAAAAAATGAAACTAGAAGGAATTTATGTCTGTGGTCTTTTAAAAAAACTTTCTTTACATTTTTATTTGAGGGATTTTTGTTTTTGGGGAAGAGTGAAATATTGGTTTTGATTGCAGTGGTATGTATCTTGATTTAACTTATAAATATCCTTGTTACTAAACTATAAGACATGAAGTGAAGACCTTTCTGGTTTAGAATGGCATCAAGTCAGAGTGGATTTTAAGCTTTTTAGTTCTGTAAATCCTGCATTATAATTGCTGTTACAGGTCTTTTTCATTAATTGATTTTTCCTTTTTTTATAATTTTTTTTTCTTTTTAGCATCATAGGAAAGAACAAGAGAAACTTTTTATGTACAGATGACGTGATTTTTTTTTTCTTTTTTTTCAGACAGGGTCTTGCTCTGTCACCCAGGCTACAGTGCTGTGGTGTGATCATAGCTCACTGCAGACTTGAACACTTGGGGTTAAGCAATCCTCTCCCCTCAGCCTCTGGAGTAGCTAGGACTACAAGTGCAAGCCATCCCACCCAGCTAATTGTTTCTTTTTTGTAGAGATGGGTGTGGCTATGTTGCCCAGGCTGGTCTTGAACTCCTGGCCTCAAATGATCCTCCTGCCTCTGCCTCCCAGAGTTCTGGGATTACAGACGTGGGCCACTGCTCCTGACCTTTCATTAATTGAAAGGAATGTAGGATAATAGGATTAGATTTCACTGAATTTATTACTGAGTGCATACTATATACCAGGGACTTGGCCAAGCATTTTGATATACATTGTACTGTTTAATTCTAAGGACAACTCCGAGGGTGTTATATAAAATTTGGATTATTGTATAGTGGTAGTTAGTACATATTTTTAACCAATGAAAGATACTACAGTAATGATTAAAGTAAGGTTAATGGTGTCAGTTTAATAAAAATAACTATAGAATCTTTGGTGTATGATTTCTAAGGCAATACTACTTTTATTCCTTTTTATGCGAATCTTCATAATTCAGTGACTTCTGCTTGTGACATCACCATCAGAATTTTTCTTTGGAGAATGAATAGGCTCCATCAAGTTAGGGATTAAAAATATTAAGCCCAATTGCAAAATTAATATGCATTCAATTCTTTTAAGCTCCTGCTATACAAAACTTTTGGGAGATTGAATAGAATAATCTAGTGAATTGGAGGGTTATGGTTACCCATAATGTTAAGATATACCTTCTATAGAAGCAAAAGAAAGAAAACAACTATTTATTGAGCATCTATTTTCTGCCCACCACATATAGTAATAGTACTAGTAGTGGTCACAGCATTTGCCTCCATTTTTCTTACATTTCTCCATTTTTTCCCCAGGCATTGTGCTAAATGCCTTTTAGAAATATTCCCCTTTTAATCCTTAGAGTGAAGCCATTCCCATTTTACAGATGGGTAAACTGAAGCTTGGAAATACTGAGTAACTTGCCTGAAGGCACAGAACTTATGCAGATTTGGGGTTTGGATTCAGGCCTTGTCTTATTCCCAAACCTGTGTTCTCTTTGTTGTACTGTTGGCCTCTCATTTTTCCTGAGTCCAGTCACCCTTTATGAGCATTCTTTGAAAGGGCTGACCTGATTCCAACAAACACTTTGAGAAATAAAGGAGGGAAAATAGATTTTTACAATAGGAAAGCTAGCATAAAAAAATCATAAATTTGCTTGACTCTGATTGCTTTGTAATTACTGAAATGAAATTTCTGGAAAATAAAATTTGAAGAAAGAAAAAGATAAACAATTTTTTTCTTATAGTAATTACTAACTGGTGTTGACCTTTGGCCTCAAGTTTATGTTCACAAATCCAATTTAGGCTTGCCTGTTTTCCCCAGTAGAATATAAGTTCCTTGAGGGCAGGGGTTTTTATGTGTTTTGTCCACTGTTACATTCCTAGAGCCTAGAATAGTGCCTGGGACATATAGTGCCTGGTAACTATTTGTTGAATGAAGGAATGAAATTCTGCAATATAATTTTTATGACTTTTTAAAAAGTCATCTTTACCCATACATGTCTTTTGTCCTCATATTGCTCCTGAACTTCTCTGTCTTCTGTTTGCTGGGCATCTTTTCTGGCATG